ACTTAAGTTGCAACATTTTGAGTTGCAACTATTTATGAATTTTTATATTAAAATAAATTTACAAGGAGTTGCAACTTCTTAATTATGGTATCCATCTTTACTTCAGATCTTCTTTTCTTTGATAAATTAAATGTTTTCCTCCAATTGTTATATAATCACCAATAAACTCACTAAATAATAAATACATTCTTTCTCTTTCAATTTGTGAGCTTTTTATTTGATTTTTTAAATTATCTTCATTATTTACATTTCCTGTAATATTTTTTTTAATAAATTTTACTTCAAACATTTCTAGTACTTCATCAAAAGAATAATAATATCTATCATATGTAAGATTAACTGATTCAGCATACTAATATCATATTTTAAGTAAACTATTTGTTTCATTTTCAATTTGATTAAAAATAATATTGTTTTTGATATAATATATTTTTATTGAACAACTAATAGCTATCTATATTAAATCTAATACATGATAAGTTGATCTATAATCAACAACCAATTTTAATTTGTTAAGAAATTTTACACCTAAAATAGCTACTAAATTATAGATACCATAACTTGAAAATAAATTTAATAGAATACTATACATATCTTTAAAAGTATGCTATTGTTTTAATAAAGGTCTAATATTTGTATTTATCTCATGTAATTTAATTACACGTCTAAAAATAGCCTCATCACAATTTATTTCTATTGATTAATTATTATTTAAATTTAAGTCTTCAAAATATTTATTACAAGTAGCATGGATCTCATCATCTCTATTTGAATTTTCTCCAGCTTCAAGAATAACAACTTTAGGAGGTGAACATTGAAAACTAATATCAATTTGTTCAATAATTTTTGTATTAATAATATCACAATCAAAGTTTCGTAAATATTCAATTGATTAATTATTTTGATTAAAACATAATAATTGTTCAAATATTGTTTCAAGTCCAATTAGCATTTCTTTAGCAAATTGATTTAAACCAAATAAATAAGTTTTTTCATTTAAATTATTTATGTTTTCATTAATTGAATTTAATGATATTGGTAATTCAAACTGAAATAATAATTTTAAAGTAGCATGTGAATTCATTCGATTAAGATTATAAATATTTCCAAAAGTAAATAATTTTTCCTTAAAATCTATATTATCTATTACACATAAATTTCAAATATTATCTTATTTTTTAATTCTTAAAAGAGGATTTGCTTCTAACATTCTTTTTTTTTCTAATAGTTTTTTATATTTATTGTATGAGGTATAACATGAATTGATTGAAGTACTTTATAAAATGATGTTAATATACGAGGTTTACAACATAAATTAGATAATATATTTGGATGCCAAAGTTTGATTTTGTTTTGAGAAATTGAAATAATTACTGAAGTTAAGAAAACTGTAATTCTTTGAATTTTTTGTTGATTAGTTGGCTTTATTTGTTTATTTTTTTTATTAAATCTTGTTTGTTTTTATTCTAATAATGTTTGTATTAATTTTTAAAAAAACAAAACATTGAAAGTTGAAGAGCATTTGAATATTCATAAAGTGAATTTGGTGATTCTAAAATATTTTGTTATTGATATATATCCTTTAAATTTATTTCTATCATATCTGTAAAATTTTATCCTAATTTTATACATTCTTCTGGTATTAAAATATTATTAAAAGTTTTAAAATCAATATGATGTAACTTAAATATTATATTAATTACAAATAAATTTGGTGTTGTTTAACTATTCTTATTATTATCTTCATTAAAATCAAAACAATCAAAAGTTTGTAAAGCTGATATAATTGATTTTAAACCTTTTTCTTGCATTTGAATATCATCAGATTTAGCAACTATAGATATCCATTTACTTATAAGTTTTAATAATGTAGCTAAATCTTTTTTATATTGATTATTTATAATATATTACTTTATTTTCTTGTCCAGATCTAACAAATATATATCTACCATTTTTTTCATAACAATCACAACAAATATATTTTAAATAATCATTTGATTGTGATAAAGAATTTATTGAATCAAATTCTTGTAATGCATTACAATTTTTTTATCCAATACATGGAATTTGTATATTTTTTTTTATAAGATTCTAAGAATGCTTAGTACAAAATTTGTCTCTACTGAAAAAATAATAATTAATTCCATAAAATTTACATATGCAATTATGAATAATACTTTCAGATGAATTTTTTGATTTTTTAATATCAGATGAATGCAATTTATTTTGATTAAATATAAAATGATTATAACAAACTCCAAGTTTTTCTAAATCCTTACTTGCTGCTTCAACCAATTGCTTATCTAATTGCCACATTTCAATTAATTGCCATAATCATAAGAATTCTTTAAATTTTTATAAAATTGTAATTTTTCATTTATCAAATCTACTATTACACATGGTGATAAATTTTTTGTTTTTGTTTGATTTATATTTACATCTATTTTTGATTCTATAATTTCTGTAAATATATCAGAATCTTGTTTTAAAGATTCTTCTGTATTACTACTATTTACACTACTTTAACTGTTTAATACAAAAGTAAATGCTTCATTTATTGCATTATTATCATATAGAAAAGTAAAATCTTCTTCTAATTCAGGTATATTATCAAAGAATTCATCATTTATATGATCATTTATTTGATTTTCTAAAATATTTTGATTCATTTTTATTTTTAAAAAAATGTGTGAAAAATAATAAGTATAAAAGATCAAAATTTGTAATTTAAAATATTATGTAAAAAGATTTATATTTATACAAATTTAAAATTTTTTAAATATATGTATTATATTATAGAAAAAAATATATAGTAATACAGATAACTAGAATTATAAATTATTTTATATTAATAAAGAATTTAATATTCCAACCCAAAGTATATAAAAAAATGTAATAGTATTCCATAAAATCTCAGTAAAAAATTGAATCTGCAATATCAATAAAAGGTGTCATAATAATTTCAGAATAATATATTTAAAAAGAAATTTGAAAAAAATATTCTATAGACATACCTTTTATACCTTTTAAGAGTTTTTAAAAACTTTTTAAGCTTTTAATTGTAAGTTTTATCAAATATGATTATTTTTTAAAATATTAATAAACTTATAATAGTGACAAGCTTATAATATTAATACTAAGTTTAACTATATTCAAGAATATTATTTATTCAATAAGTTCAATAATACCTTGTTTTTTTTAAAAAAAATTCATTTAATATTTATTTTTAATATAAAAAAAATTGTGCAAAAGATTTTATAAGTTTAAAAGCAAAGTTGCCTATTTTTCAAGTAAGATCCACTAAAAGTTAATGAATGTGTTCGAGGTTTTTTATTGATAAATTAATAGTCACGAATTCAACGAACAATTGTATAAAAAAAATCTTAAAATTATAATAAAATTACACAACTTGCTTATCAACAAAATAAAAAAAGACGTAAAATTCCATATGAAAATCACTTGGCAAAATGATCAGCACTATATGTAACACCATTTGCTACTCAAAATTGGAGAAATGCGTAACAATTGATAATAAGCAAAAAAAGGATATAGATTTAGTAATACTAAAAGGTAAATTATATTAAGGAAAAGAAATAAAAAATTACACTTTTAGATGTCACTAACAATATGTGAGAAAGAGGCTGGAGAAAGTAGAAGACTCAGAAGAATATAAGAAAAAGGGTATGAAAGGCAGGATTGCAAGAATAACACAATATTAGACAATCAAAAATATAGTAAATAGATTATGATACATCTTTGACAAATGTCAGGATTGCAAATTTAGTACTTTGTGTTTCATCCAGCAATTAAGAAATGGCAATCAAGAGAAAATATATGGATTGCAAGTTTGATACTTCATGCTTTAATTCAGTAATCAAATGAGAATATAAAGGTAAAATTGCAAGTATCTAAGTTAGCATAAAGTGATCTAAAACTGACGAATTAATAAAACCATTCTGGCTTTCTGCCAGTTTCTTACTAACTTCATAATATTATCATAATACTAAGTTGGATTCTCAAATCATATGCTTTAAAAATTAGCTAATGTTATGTCATAGAGCTAACCAAAATTAACGAAATTGGATAATAAATTTATTGTGTCATCTGATGCATTTTTTTATATTATCTCAATACATTAAAAGGTCACTAAACAAGCACAAAAGAAATCATCTTCAGCACATTAACAGACCACTAAATAGGCTCAGAAGCAGGTAAATAAATAGATTATTCTTAACAATAAAAAGGTTATAAAAGTACATAAATAGATAGAAAACTACTTAATAATAAAATGGTTAAAGATAATAAAGAAAATTGTAACTATTAGATTATAAAATCACCATTAGATTCATTAGATTAAAGAATTATAATCACTACTAGATTATAAAGTTATTATAATATATCAGAATTAACTAAAACAATAATTAGAAAGTTGAAAAAATACACAAAAATTAGATTATAATATATTATTAGATTATGTATTTAGGTTGTGTATTTATTATTAGATTATATATTTAGATTATGAAGTTGCTAATAGAATGTGAAGATACTACTAAATTATGAAGTTATTAATAAATCATGAAGTTACTAATAGATCATAAAGTTATCAATAAATTTTGAAGTTACTACTAGATTATGAAGTTATTTTCATAACCTAATGCAAGTCACAAATAAGTAGTTTAAATGTAATTAAAATAATTATAGTATGATTAAAAAATTTTAATAAAGTTAAATAGTTTATTTATAATTAAATAATTTTAGCATAATTAAATAGTTTAAGTATAATTTCATAATTATAATATAATATTTTATTCCTTAAATGATTAATATAAAATTATTCATTAAAAATTATAATAAAATTAAGATATTTTAATATTTAATGATCATAAAAACATAAAATTTATCTTATTAGATTCATTAAATTTATGACATATTTAATGAATCTATAATTATATTTCTAGTATCAATAAATCAAAATTTATATTATTTTGAAATATTTTAAATCTTTAAAAATAAATTTTTTATTTAATAATTGCTAAAAAATATAATTTAATTTATTAGATACTTCTCATAAAAAAGTATTAAAAAGTGGTATTTTTATAATAATTTATTACTATTTATTCTTAAAAATTATTAATTAATACCATTTTTTTTGATTTTACTTAGAAAACATTATAAAATTTATTATAAAATTTATAAAATTATTATTATATTAATAAAATATTTTATAATTTTAATATTTAAAAATTATATAATATTTTGCATATTACATATTTTATAGTTTTGCATATTTATTATATCTGTTTTCAAATATATTTCTTTTATACTCTAATAATAGGATATCAAATTATATGAATTATAATATATTGAGATTTTTTAATATGAAATAAATGCTGATAAAAAGACTAAATTGCAAAAATATTATAAAAATTTAAAGTATTAAATCAGATAATAAAAGTTTACATCTTTCAATTTGGATTTCTAACATTAATTCTAATTTTCTGATCTAATTAATTAAACTTATGTTTAAAATAAATTTAATTTTTTTTATGATTATAAGAAGCAACTTTTAGATTAATTATGCATAATACTATAAAATAAGAATTAAAATTGATTCTACCAACAATAATTCAATATTTGAATAAAAAAATTTATTTTAGTGAAGTTAATTAAGTACGTAATTAAAAGATTACCATATCAGTATTGCTTAAAGATATTTTTACTTTTATACTTCTAGTTAAGTCTATAATCATAATTATGAATACATATTCATGTAATCTTTATTTAATTTATAGCCATCAATACTCATCTCACTTTCCAATTACATATTTCTTGAAAAAATATTTTATCGCTCTTACATATTTTCGGATTTATCCGAAATTGTCAGTTTTGAACCGTTCGAAGCTTTAACTTGAGTTGACATTATAACTCTACATTTGATTACCTAAGCTTTCGGTCATTAATTCATAAATAGTTAGAATATATTCTAAACATCTACAGCAAATATTAAAAAATATTACTTGTATTATGTAATTCCGGCAAAACTGATTTAACCAATGATGATCCTTGCAGGTTAACCACCAATGAAATCGAACATTCGAAGCCCGATTTGGAAAGTTTATTTATTTTTTTATAACCTGAAATTCATATAAATAATCGTTTTATAAATGTTGTAAGAAATTAAATTTATATCATACAAACTTATTATTTTAAAAAAATGTCGAAGGATATTCATCTTGTTGTATTTGTTCATGGGTAAACTTATATATTTTTTTCTCTTTAATATAATGCAATTAATTTAAAAATCTTTGATCTAGCTTATGGGGAAACCCAGGTCATTTACAGTATTTAGTTGATAATTTTGAGGACAAACATGGCCACGATGTTCATATTGTAAGTTGTTATTTTTTTTATTCCTTTTCTCAAAAAATATCGGTTTAAAAATATTTTTAATTTTTAAATTTAGCTAAATTCAAAGAACAATTCATCTGCTTATACTTATGATGGTGTGGATGTTTGTGGGGATAGACTTGTCGAAGAAGTATTATTATTAATATTATTATTATGTTAAAGCAGAAGTCATTGTAAGGATTAAAAGTTAAATCGCTGTCCGAAAATTAGATAAATAAAGAAGTTAAATCACTCCAAGATAAAACCTTTAAAGTCGCTAAGTTTAGTATTGTTGGATACTCTCTTGGTGGCCTAATATCAAGATATGCGATTGGAATACTTTATCAAAGAGGATTTTTTACAACAATTAAACCGATTGTATGTAATTTTGATTTATTATTATTCATCTCTCTCATCATTTTATATTTAATTAATTATAATTATTTCATCAATTTATTGTAGCTATTCACAACATTTGCAACTCCACATTTAGGCATTAGACGCGAAGACGATAAAACATTTACAAAATTAACTAATTGGGCATCAACAACACTCTTGTCAAAAACTGGTATGCGCATTATTTCAACTTATTACAAAATGTACTTTTTTTCTCCTAATATTTGTAATACTTACTAGGGGAACAACTTACTTTTGTGGATAAATACGAGGAAAATGAGCCAATTTTATTGACGATATCTCGCCCAGGTAAGCTAGGTTATTTCACGATATTGATCATTGGGTAATATATCTAATCTTATCTTTCATTCTTTCCGAATTTCAAGACAAAATTTACTTCAAAGCTCTTTCCGCGTTTAAATATAGAGCATTATATGCAAACGTCAGGAATGATAGAACCGTTCCTTTCTGGACAGCCTCGATATCTGAAGTCGATCCATTCGATAATTTTGAAGAATTAAATATGTAGGATATTGTTTACCTAATTATCATTTTCATTGATTATATATTAATAATTATTAACTTTTTTATTTTTAGAGTAAAAAATGAGAAATTCCAAGTTATAATAGAATCAATATCAAAAATTGAAAACATTCCAGAAAAAATTTATTTTATGAAAAGATTAACAAATACGGCAAAAAAAGTTCTACGTTATATGTTATTTGGCTTAACTATTCCTATTTTACTACCTTTGTGGATTATGTTTGTACTTAGTACTATTACAGTACAAGGTATATTGTCAAGGCGAAGAGTGCAGAAGATTTTAGCTTCAAAGGCCAAAAATGAAGTTTATAGTTTTAATCATGCGGAAATCAGCGTTAGAGCTACAAGTTTAGAAGAAGATGCTGTAGAGACTGCAATGAATATAAGAAATTTTCTCACACCGAGTTCGCCTACAACAACAAATCCACCACATTCTCCATTATTACCGTCAAATGTAAATTCATTGGAAAATTTTACTACTACTTCTTCAGCATTTCCTCCTGTTCATGTATGCCATGATCAACGTGAAGTATTTGCAAACTTAAATCGATTAACATGGAAAAAATTTGCTGTTTGTCTTGATGCATTCAATTCACATGCAGCTATTGTGATGAGAAATCGGCTTCAGTCAAAGGGAAAAGATATCATAAAACATTTTGTGAACGAGACATTTAAGGATAATTAATTAATTTCGAAGATTAGTCAATATCGGATTATTTTTTTTCAAACCATTTTGAACATTTTGAACCACTTTTCGATAAGTTAATAAATGTAGTATTATTGAAAAACGATAAGACCAAAAAAAAATGCATATGATGAATACCCACACACCATAAGATTTAAAGATTTAATATCTGGAGAAAGAGTTTTCTTGAAGGAATTATCTTGATTTGTAAATATAACATCCTGAAATGACCTCAAATGACAATAATTTGTAGATTATCCTTATACACGCCATATATCGCGTGAGGTCAATTTCGAACGCGTAAATATGAATAACTTTGTATAGATGAAGTAATAGACAAATTGCAAAGATAATTAAATGATGTTGATAAAATATACGTATGAATGTAAATTATTGTATAATGCGATCATTGCGAAAAAGTATGTGCTGAAGTGGATTGATGGAGAATCTGTATATGCGAATCTATCAGGAATTTTTTTTTTTTTTTAGGATCCGAAGGATCTTCCAAATGCATCCTAATACAATGATAATTATGATGATAGCAAAGTTTGAACAAATGATATATAGAATCTGAACATTTGTTTTTACCCATCGTAAAACGTTATCTGTGAAATTGACACGTCAAAAGGTCGATTACAATGCGGATAGCATGTACAGATTTAAAATTTTTATGTGCGCTATTTTTAAATGATGTGCGGTAAAGTTTTTTTATTGGCATAAATAATTTTTAAAAAATAATTTTTAAAATTGTAAACTTTAATTATTTATAAATCCTTTATTATATTAAATGTTTATAACCATACTAAACGTTATTATTTGATAAAATGGGCCTTTGCAATAGAAAGGAGGGAAACTGCCGGAAAAATCAAAAATGAGTTAATGCTAAATTTGAACATATTTCATCCTAAAAATCATTTTTGGCATATAAAAGTAAAATTAATTTTTCCCCAAATAATCAATAATGAATTGTTTAATTATGATTAACCCGTCGCACTTGTTCTTTTTCCCACTGATTGAATGCTTTATCCCAATTAAAATCTTCAATATTATCAGTTGTATTAAGAAGTATGATTCAAGTGACTCAATATTCTTTCTATTACGTAAACTCGTTTTTGTTAATTTGTGTTGAGAGAACACTCTTTCAACAATTGCATTTGATAACGGAACTAGTAAAGCAATCTTAACTAATATATTAATATTTGGAAATTGATTAATAGACTGAGATTGAGAATTCCAAATATGATGCCATCCTTCTATCATATCATATTTTTTAACAGATTTAATAACATGTTTAACCATCCCCCATTCTTTTTTGCATTCAAGACCATCAAATTGTTGTACCATCTGATCTACATTTTTCATTCCCAAAGTATTTACATAAAGTTTCAATTTCTTCTACTCCATATAAAGATAATTCACTTTCCCCGTAAAAGGTGGACAAAGTACCCGGGTATCATACAAATTCTAGAATTTTGAAGGGTAGGGATAATTTGAACAGGGTAATCTTATCGATGATCTAAAATGTATAAATTTGGTCATTCTTAACAAATTTATCGTTAATAAATAAATGCGTAGTGGTAATTCGCAACCTTTTTTTTTATGTATTCGTAGCATAATATCCCATATAGTAAATTACATCCTATAGTATAATACCCCCAAATACCATACAAATTAATTAAAAAAAATTTAGAGGTCTTCATGCATAATACCCATATTATTTATGGGGATACATTTAAAAAAGTATACCAAGAATTGAAAAACATATTTTGAATTATTCAGCTTTACCACTCTTTGAAGCTATTCAATGTTTTAATCCAAGATATATTTATTTTCAAATAGAAAGAACTAATATTTTATTATATTCTATTATACCAGAATTTACATTCCAAAGTTTAAATTTAAATCAAGAGTGGGGAATTTATAGTAACCTTAATGAAATAATTAATTCAGAGAAGAATTTTGATTTAGAAAAATATTGGATAGAAAAAAAAAAAACACCTTTCCAACATTAACTAATATAATATATATTTGGTTGCCGGTTTTAGGTGTAAGAGTTTTCTATTTACAAAATATTTGAGTGATAAGACGATATAAGTCTATAATAAAAGGTTTAACAATTTCGGTGCGATAATTATAAAGTTTTTTATTATAATTGTAATCTTCTCGTTTGATCATGCTAGACTTCTATAAACGCCCGTTGCTCCACTACATTCAACATTGTTGGGATTGTCTTTTCAAAAATAATATATTATTTGCCCTGTTATTTTTTGGTCTATCAACAATATTTCGTGTACTCGCACATTTTCTCCTTGTC